TTATACTTACTAAGTATTTCTCTGATATTTTCTATTATATTTTAGTTCACGCTTTAAAATTTTTTTAAATTGGTTCTGAGAGCAAAGAGGGGAGAAGGACAAGTGGAGAGGGTAGAGATTGTAGGTGGGGTCAGGGCCAGGGGGCTGTGCTCCACGGGAGTTAAATAACAACTGGGAATGGAGGGCTCCGGGTTACCTAGTAGGTATTCTGCTAAACACCTTACAATGCACAAGACAGCCTCACAAAACAATTATCCAACTCCAATATCAACAGCACTAAGGATCATTCAATAAGGAAATCATAAATAAAATTATAAAGTCAATAGTAATTTATAAAGCTTTTTATATTTTTATGAAAAACGTTTTAAAATTTGAGAAGCACATCTAATATTCAAATTCAAAGATAATATGACATCAGCAATCTAAACCTTATCTCCTTCTATAACCCTCAAAGCAAAAATAGAGAGGGCGGGGGGAGAGAAAGATCACAGTTTGTCATTTCCTAAACCAACACAAGGTATAGAGAAATGATTATTTTAACAATGTGAAAAGGAATTGCATCACATTGTCGAAAGGTGTTTCAATACATATAGTTCCCAAAATATCAGTGGATATAACAAATGTCTTTTTTCTTCTAAAGTCATATAATTCCTACAGTATATCACCTTATACTAATATTATTTTAATCTTTCAATTTTTTGAGGGTAGAATGAATGTGTTATTCATCTCTACATTCTCCACTGTATCTAATCCCACACTTTGTAAATAAGAGACCCTAAAAAAGTACTTGTCAGACAACAAGTAAATAGATGCTTAGTTTTTAATGAGACATTTCATTACATCTCAAAATTATACTTCAACAAGTTAAAAGGTATATTCTTCTTAGCCTGGAAATAGGAGGTTCAACATGGAGCAGATTCTGAAAGAGGAGAAAACCACACAAATGACCACAGTCCACATGACCAAAATTATATTTTTCCATCCAAATTTCTTTAGAGTTGTCTAATAAAGTCTTGACTATTACAAAATGTTAAATAAATAATGTAAAAAATGATGTGAATGCCTGATACTTAACATGTACATGTGAGTATGTGTAGAAAAAAAAAGAGAGAGAGAGTGGCTCATTTGGTCCCTACAATTATCAAAAACTAACAAGGCTATTCTGATTTACAGATTTATAGGTAAGGAAACAGACTTAGAGTAGTTAAAATGCTTTGAGAGAATAACACACCCTGGATTTGATTTCTTAGATTCCAAAACTTCCTATTACATACCCCTGTTACTCTTACACAAATAATGGCCAAATCACTCATGGACTGTAATATCAGCATAATTTATCAGAATATAGTAAGCAAAATGACACTGATTTCAAATATGAGTGAATTATGTATATTTAAAATAATGAAATACATCCAAAATGACATGTATAATAAAAGAGCCAAAGCCACCAATTCACCAATGAAGCTGAAACTAAAAATTAGATGAGCCAAAAGAACAGTAGAGGAAAGAAGGTTTTAAGTTAAGTGATCTATAAGCTTGCTGCAGATTGTCAATGGAATTTTATTATTTAAAGAACAGAAGATCCTGCTAAGTAGTAAACAGAAGCTATAAGATACTAGGGCCTCGAAAGAATCCTTCTGCAATGATAGTACTGACTGGTACTATCTATAGAGAGTTGATTAATATTTTAAAATTAGATTACTTGATCCAAATTTCCACTGTCCATTTTTAAGAATATACATAAAAAATGAAAAGGAACAAAAAAGTAAAGATAATGAAAAAGATATCTGAGTGTTAGAACACTTTCTTTGTAGTTATCTAGCCTAGAGATAACAAAACAAAAGGACAATTATCTTTCAAAAGCAGGCTTGTCCTCATCAGAATGATGCTTCCACATATAAATAAACAAGGAAAAATGTATTTGAATGGTACAAATGAAATTCCTTAATTATTCAGAAGAAATGTTAAACATTAGTTAAATCCCAATATGCCTATGAATAAAAATATTAGATATTAAAAGTAGCTTATTCTCAAATCAGACTGATACTTTTTCCACAAATAATTTTAAATGCTACTATAATGATGAAAAGTCTAGATATGACATACATTATTTTCTTTCCCATAATTTCCAGTCTCTTAACAGCTGCAATTTCTCCTCACTGAATTCTACTATTGGAGAAATATTGAATATGAAAAGATTACTTTTATTCAGGTCCCTTCTTTCAAATGTGAAAATCATATCTATGCCTAGAAAATACACATTAGCAGAAATTATACACTGAGAAACAAATTATTAGATAGATGAGAAAGAGGACAACTATCTCCAAGAGTGTCTCCTTGAAGTTCAAATTAGGGGAGAACACAGATGTAAGTGGCATGTTTCCCTACTTGATAAATGTCTCAGTTTTTTAGTATCACATAGGATTTGAATATAATTCATACAGAACTCTTTATGTATGAATTTTTGTGAGATTTTTATAAGTGGATAGTTCAGAATCCTAAAACAAAGTATAAATATTTAAAAGGCTACCACACATAAAATTTTTTCAAGTACTGTATTGATATATCTCTGCATCATTTATACATTTTTACTTAGTAAAATAAAAGTATTAGTTTTAGCAAATTATAATAAAATACTACCAGAAGGAATCAAACCCAACCCATCAGAAATAACAAAATTATCTTTTTTTAATCAATTAGTATCTATAACTCTAAAAACATGAAAAATGATCAAATTAAAAATTACTAAGTGTACTTAAGGAAATATTGCAGCATATGGAAAATAAAATTCCTATATACTCCATAAAACTAACATCTACCAGTTTTGAGATATTTATATTTCAAGACACAAATTTTTATAACATCATTTTAATGCAAGAAGTGTACAATAAGTTTATAATTTGATTTCTTCAACTTTATGTACATTTTTCTCAGTCTATTTGTTGTATAATTATCTCCTTCTCCTTGAATTGTGGCACCTTTTATATTTTTATCCTATTATTAGTTTTTAATATTCTATACTAAAATTCCACTGATCTGCTGAATTTTCTATCAATAACACACTTTCAATTATTGTCATTTTATTAATATCTGGTCAAGTGAGTTCTTCCTGACTACTCTTAGCTATTCTTACCAGTGTTTTTCCTTCCATATAAACTTTAGAAAGTAAGATACCTCAAGGGTCCAACTGGAATCATTGCTAGAATGTTATTAACCCCAAAAGATTATTTGGCATGCATCTTCGTAGTTTTTAGTTTTCCTAATTAGGAACATGAAATGAACTTCTCTACTCACATCTTCCTTTATGTTATCCAATAAAACTTTATGATTCTTCCCACAGGTCTCCTCATTTCTTGTTAATTATTTTTAAAATTGATTTTCTGTTTTTAGTTCAGAATGAGAACTACTCTTGTTTTTTCTAATTAGTTTTGATATGGCATAAAATTACTATATTAATATCATATCTATCTGCCTTCCTGAATTCCATTTGATTCTTCCTGATTCTTACAAATAAGAAATGGGCTACTGACCAAATATTATGATAAAGTTGGGGGAGGATGAGGCAGGGATTGGTACAAGCAATTTGTGTTAGATACTCACCAATCTAGTGGTTATCATGTCACACACCAAAATAAAACCAGAAAGATTAAAAAGTTAATGTTTAAGAAAAAAGTTGGTAAAATATACACCTAAATATTTAACTGATTTGGGGAAGAATAAAGAATTCTAAGGATGAAAATAATGAGAAAAAAATCAACAAATATACAAAGGTTTAGCTATACTAAATTCAATATTTGCAAATAACCAAAGAAAATTAGCAGATAAAAATTGAAGTAGGAAGTAAATTTGGAAAAAAAATAACTCAGATGAGGTAAAATTCTAATATATAAAAGTTCTTAAAAGTCAATAAGAAAAATTAATTAATACCCAATAAGAAGGACCAAAGAAATAAAGGAATGAAAAGATGATTCACAGAAGATATCAAACACCAATAAGCATATTGAAACATTCAACCTCACAATAAAATTTAAATTAAGGTAAATGAATTCCATTCTGCTAATAAAGAGCATTTTTGTGGCCTATTTAGTTTAAAAAGATCTGGTGCATTCAGAGCAAAAGCATAAGCATATTTGATGGTAGTAGAGAATATTGCAACTTTTCTGGAAAGCAATCTAGAAATCTGAATTGAAGATTTTTAAAAATCCAAAGTCCAAATACATATAGTTTTAAATACTCAAAAATGAAGACATATATATATACATATATATATACATATATATATGTTTATATATAAACATATATATATATGAAGATAACCATTGTAACATTATTTAATACTAGCATTTGGAAGCAACTGCAATATTTAGTTTTGGATACATTCTTAAGATCAAGCATTAGTGCAGTCATTTAAAACAGATTTCTAAAGACTATCTAATAGTTTGAAGAAAAGGATATCAATTGAAAAAAATCAGGATAAAAAATTATACACATAGTATGATACCAATTTTATAAACATATAAACTATACATGCATAGGAAAACAAGAAAGAAAATGTGACAAAAGTTTAACAATGGTTGTATCTGGAAGAAAAAAACATGAATAACTCGAATTTTATTCTTTACATTTTCAGGAAAGTTTTCAATATTTTATATTGAACACAGTGTTACTTTTATAGACGCACAAAAAATGTTATTTTTAAACAACAGCTAATAGATATTTTTAAAATATGCCATCAAGTGATGCAAGAAAAATTCCGGAAACAAAGCAGGACAGGGGTTTTAACAAAACAGACTTTTTTCTTATACATGAACATAGGATATATGTGAACATGGAAGATACTCACTTTTTATAACCTGAGATTTTCCTCACATGACCAACACCACTAAAAGACTTGATATAAAGGGAAGAATATCTAACTATTAAGTGTTTATTCCAAAATACAATCTGAAAAGAAAACTCTTGTGTGAGCAATTACAGGGAAATGTGATTAGAGAGCTTACCTTTTTCACTTACACTCTCACTTTCAATCTCAACATCATCACAACTTGTATATTCAGGTGTGGAAGCCAACTCCTCCTCAGAACTGCTCAATGAAACCTGGCGCATTTTCCCACCCTTCTTTGATTTATGAGGCTTTGGTGGTGGTGGTCTCACTGATTCTGACTGGTCTGAACTGAGAGAATCATTCCTCAACATAGTTTCCATTTTTTCCCGTTTTGTTTTCCTCACAGCAGAGCTGGGATCTAGGTGTTGTTTCCTTAGTGAGTCAGTACGCCTCATGTCTGGTCTATCAATGGGTATTGGACTCCTCTGAGGGGTAGGAGGACTATGGTTTGTGGTCCTTTGTGGATAAGAACTTTGTCCCTGAGCTTCTCGAGTTCTTTCCATTGAATAAGATCGCTGATTTTCCATGGCAGCTCTACGTTCAGATATGGATCTTTGCCTTGATGGTCGATCCATCCTTAGTAAAGAAATCCTGGAATCTTCTAGTTCAGCATTTGCCAAAGAAACATCACTATGCCTTCTCTCATGCCGTGCTCGGGACACTTCAGCATGGATACGCATTTGTTCTTCATAGGGCTGTGGCTTTACTGGATAACGGGCCAAATTTGGATCGCTTCTGTAGCGGGCCTGGTACTCCTCCTCTCTCCTTTGTCTTTCATATTCATCTCTGCTGTCCACATCCTCATCATCTACAATATATTCTTGGGAATGCCTATGACTTCTCCTGTTGGAATCCCTATAATTTAAATTATCAGATTCTTCATAAAACTGAGGTTCAAGTTGAGATCGTCTATCAGAATAGTCTGATGGAGATCTGGGCATTGCGCTGTCTGAAGGAGCATACTGCGAATATTCTTCTCTTTCTTCCCTTTGGTCGTATCTTCTATTCTGATCTCTGGACACCGATGGACTTCTTTTCCTAAGTAGCCAAAAGTCCAATTAGAAGAAAATAGTTAAACAATTTTATATTTTACTGATTCACTGCCAAGTTGATGGATAAATTCAAATGAATCTTTTGACCCTTTTTTTTTTCATTTTAAAAATATACCAAAATAAGTTTTAGTAAGATTAATTTGATTTAGTTCAAATAGGTCATTCAAAGATATTTTGTTGTGGTTATTAAATGACCAAAAAAAATATATGAAATATACTATGTTCTGAAATTAGATAATCAATCTCCTATTCTACTCTGTAAAACAGTATTTATTTTAACTTCTTTGCTTGTCTTGCTACACATTAGCTATCCCCTAATTATCAACAGCTTAGAAAAACATTCCTTCCATTCTCTCTATTCTGTCACTTTCATCTGGAAATGTAATGAAGTCGAACTGACTTGCCTCCAGAGTTGAATACTTTTTAACATTAACTGCTAGTTCTTAAAATTCATTTTTCATTCATCACCTATATCACTCCTATTATTGGTTAATCTAAATTTTCGTCATAACATTATGTTTCCATCTCTTTTTTGAGATAAGTAATTTTTAAAAACACCAACAACTATTCATAAAAAAACCCTAGGATTCAGAAATTTACTTCATCTTCAATAAGTTTAATGTTTATTTCATCTTCAATAAGATTAATGCCTGCTTAGTGATACTTCTCTACTTCATCTTCATATTTGACCTTCATATTCCCTTATAGTCTCAAAGGAAGAGAATTTTTACTGTTTCCAATATGTGTCTCTAACATTGGTATAACCTACATATAGTTAATAATACAATGATGCATGGTATTCTGTCAACAAAATATTCACACTGCCCTCTTCTCTAGTATGAACTCAGATAATATCTACAACTAGCTATGTGAAACAATGGGATTGGAATCCTGAAAATGAGACAAAAAGTTTAGAAAAACTGTTGTGAGGATTTTTCTTGGACATGAACAAACAAACAAAAAAAAAAGTTAGAGTAGGGCCAGTTTGATGATTCAACAACTTGATTGTCAGTTTGACTTTGGTGGGGTGGGGCAGAGACCAGAGAGGTCTAAAAGCAAGATTAGAAAAAGAATAGAGAGGAATGACTCAACCTAGCAAAATCAGCACTCTCTTTTAAAGTCTTCCTTTTGCTACTGAATCCCCTTTCTCTCATATCTGGAATACAGTCTGCCAGGTTTTTTTTATCCATAAGGGTTCATTAGTGAAAACTGTTTTTTCCAGTAAGAAAGGTTTTAATACAGGAATCAGAGCTACATGAAGATTGAATGGGCTAGAAGAATGAAGGTCAGGGAAATTAATCCCAAGGGATCCAAAATAAGGGTCTGCAATATGGACCTTAGAAATTTGCTGATATCTCTAAAGACTTTGGAAATTTTCCCCCAGTGATCTCACTGGCCTACTGTGTGGTGGCCAATTAACAGGAGCTCCCCTAGAAGCCTCTAAGATTTTGCATTCTGTCTATCTGTCTACCAAAAACTACTGTTTGACAATAACATTTATTTATTCCACCTTTCAAATCTCACATAAATGCAAAGCCATGACAGATTATCATGGAACCTTAAAGGAAAAGGAATTGTAATAAATGAAGGAACTAACCAGTACCCTAATTGTTTTATAATTAAGCAAGTGGATATGATTTATATGAATAATTACATATAAAACATATAGAATTTAATTAAAAAATTAGGTTACAATTGCTACATAAAACTATAGACTCTTAGAGTTTAAAATTTAAGATCAAAACGAACCCCAAAATATTATAGTATTAACTGATACAGCATCGTTTGTATACATGCACTTGTGCACACATAAGCATAATATGCACCGTTTGTTTTACTTTGGTCATATTTTTTTTTACAAATGGCTTGCATAGTAATAGAATATCATGAAAAGAACACTAGAGTTAAGAAATTTGCATTTCTTAGTCCTACTGTTATTATTAACCAGTTATTTGAACCAACACAGCTATTTAATCTCAGGGAATCTGTGCTTTAAAATGAAGAAACATAGATTGTAGACCTTAACTCATATGTGATTTTAACAAATATGTAGTAGGTAAACAATGAATAACACATTAAAATATAGACTAGGGACATAGAAACAAGTAAGACACCATACTTGATCTTAAGAAGCTGAATGATTCTAAAGCCCTCCTCCATTTCTTAGTGACTATGATCTTATAATATGCTAACACAACTTCATCCAGTTAATTTGCCTATTGGAAATCTTAAAGCTGTTAAAAAAAATTGCCAGTAACATATTTAACATTGCACTCAGTGTTATAGAAGTATCAAGAAAAAAAAAGAAACAATTTTTATTCCTAACCTTAGGAAATAGTATGAATTTTTGAAAGAATATATAAAGTGAATATAATAAGTTTTTAATAATAGAGGATTCTATTTTATTGATAAATAGGAAAGATTTACTTCTTATTGTAAAATTCAGTTCCAAAAGAAAGTACATTAATAATTGGCCACTGGCAAGCTATTAGATGTATTTTCCAAAATTATACCTTAGGAAAATTGAATTCCATATTAAATCCAGCAATCACTGTGACATAGAGATTATGAAATTTGCCTGAAGCATGTGAATCTTACTGTACATGCTGATTTGTACTGGATTTRAGTAAAAATAGAACAGTGGTTAAAATCTCAACCTAGGATGACTATAGTCACTATCACTTAAAATGGACATAGGTCTTTTAAAATATACTTTTAAGTATAATACCTTATGGTATACTAAAACTATATCAGAAGCCAGGCAAGATTTCATTGTAAGATTACCCAAAAATAAACTATCTGCCATCAAATACTCTAAAATATTAAAATATTCTGTCAAAATAATTCTGATGAACTGTATCAATTGTTCTTCTTTATATTTTAAAACTTCTATGTTTCTTAGACCCTATAGTATTTTCAGGAACTACAGAAAATCAATGAAAATTAAAGTTCTGTGTCTCTAGTCTCTATCGTTGCTACTGGCCTTTATAAATAAGTCTTAGCATTTATTATTATCAGGTGAAAACATTTAATAAATTAAAAAATGATAATTTGTACATTACTCTAACTATTTATAAAGGCAGTTAACAGTATTTAACCCACAAATCATAATTCAAAGTAATCAAGCAATTCATCTAGAGTGTTGTTTTATATCACTCCTTTAAGGATACAACATCATTTGTATACATGCACTTGTGCACACATGAGCATAATATGCACCATTTGTTTCTGAGAAAGTGAGAGACAGAATCCAAAATTGTGCTTTTTTAGACAAAAATGTATTTGTGATGCTACATAGTGTCTTAAGTTTCATTCCTATGTATCCCATTAAACCCTATTTTCTTATATAATAACATTATATATTTATACTTGCTTTATATTTACCTGACATACATTCACCTTACTTCTCTTTATTGAAATGTGGATTATTACAACTATTTTCTTTTAACACATTATAATGACCTTAACTGGGACCAGTTAATAGAAAATTACATATTAAACATCCAAACTCTAATGAGTAGCATTTCTACTCATTGCTTATACTTTTTGTCATATGGACTATTTAATCTATTTCAAAATATTCTGGCTATATAACACACCAGATGCTCCATATTTTTCTGACTCTGCATAATATTTCAGTAGAAATCCTATCAATTAAGCTGTAAAATTCCATGTCTCCAAATCATACAAACTGATGGGAAAATTCCAAATATGAAATTTCTTTACCAATTAAAATCATTTTCCTAATTTCCCTAAGGTATTTTCAGTTTATATTGTATATATGAATTCATCATGTTTATATGTAATTTCCAATTTAATACTTACACTATTTGCCAACCAATTTGGTTTGTGTTAACTATAATTGATACTGTTATTAGAAAAAATAACCACCAAATCCCTGAAAATACAAAATAGCAAACATTTATAAAGACAGTTAAAGATTACATGAAAACGTTGGTTTTTAACATGCAGATACTTTTAACTTTTTAAGATACGTGTAATTTTAAAGAATTGTAATGAGTTTAAAAGTGAAGAATTTCAAGATTACTGAGTTCTGCAAATTCAAATTTTATATTATTTTGATTAAGCACTACCTATATGAAAATCTCTTGCTCATAACCTCTATTACTATAGATCATTAAAAATTGTCATTTTATAAACAAAAGGACATAAGGTACACTTGAGGAATCAATAATTTTTTAAAAATCTTCATTAAAGCTTTAGAAAGCATGGATAATGCCAAATAAATGAAAATAATATTTCATTAATAAAATTACAGAATTTTAACTATATAGTTTAAACATAATATTGCAATCAAATTCTAAAATTGAAAGCTGTTAAAACACAGTACATCAAAAATTTGAAATATATGTTCCTATAAAATATGAAATACACAGATTGCATTCCTATAGTTCCTACAAAAAGCATTTAAATATAAAATCAATTTATATTTATCAAAAAAAACATAAAATAGATCAGTTTTTACCCATCACAATTAATATTTAAAATTTTTATTTTTACCTTTTGTTCAACCAATTCACATCTGTCGAGCATGAAGCATCATGTTGACAAAAATACATCAACATTGTGCCAGGCTGTGCTTTCATTTAATCCTTCTAGCCCTAGCAAAATCATAGAAGCCATCCTTAATCAGATGATTTGAAAGTATCTACTTGTTTACAAACATTTTATTTCAAAACTCAATTATTAAAAAGTTACACACGAAACAACAATCATTCAAGGAAGAAGCCATAAAATCCTCTAGTGATGGGCCTGTTAAGAAAAGGGTTATTCTTTAATGCTGTTACTATGTGGCTGTATATAGCTCGAGGTCAAGTAAGAATGTACCCTGTAAGAAGGATTATGGTACTTAGCTGATTAATGTTCACAATACTGAACACAAAATGCAATCTAGATCCCAGGCATTTCTGGGCACTATCCTTAAAACTGGCAGCTTTAGAAATTTATAAACCATTTTTTCATAAT